GAGTCACTGCTCCCTTTGTCCTCCAGTCCACAGTGTCGGGTAGAGCATTACCAGTGGGTACATGGTACCTGGTGGCGTTGCTCTTCCTGGCGGACCGCCTGTAGCCGTTGTACATTGCAGCAAACTCGGAGGACTCTAGATCAGCGAATGCGTTCATCTCAAGAGTCCAGCCCCACTTGTCAGCGTTTGCATTATGCTCGAGGACTATCTTCTTGTTCGCCTCCCAGATGGTTTGACGGTAGAGCTCTTCCTTGTCGCTGGAGTAGTCCTTTCCGTTGGTTCGTTTCCATAGCTCCCATTCAGCTGTGTATTCAAATGCTGTGGCACAGACTATGAGGGCAGCAAGTGCAATAAGATACTTCATGATTGTAAGAGAGAATCAAAAGAGAAGGTTGGACGACTGGTTCGACAAAGAGAGAGTGCTGCGTGTAAATCTTCCAATATTTTTGCTTAATTTGTATTGTTCGCATTTGACCTTTTGGTCATGTGAGCGCGCGGGAAAAATGCTCATTCAGCCCACGTGATGCCACGTGATATTAATAATAGATTAAATAGAAGAGGGTGTGGTGTCATGGAGCTGGAAGGACTTTCACTTACTAAAGTGAATAGATTTTAATTATACTGGCAATAATAATAATTATTATCAATCATAATAATTACTAGGGATGTTTAGCTGTTGCACCAATGAAGGTTCAGCAATCATCAAGTATTAAAATATTTTTTAATAATTAATAATCATTAATAATATTTTTAGTCAGTTTCACTAAGCATCCAAGTGAGACTGAGAAAGAGGCTCAGAGACGATGCCAGAAATACCAAAAGTGTTTGGCGCAAATCGAAGGAAAGATAGATGTGAGATTATTCCTTCATATTGTCATGAATGTGTTGGAGCCTCTGATCAATACTTGATGTATAGGACCTTATGAAAGAGTTTGAAGATGGCTACCACAATGATATTAAAGATTACGTTAGTTCAGTGAGACAAGACTTGGTCTTACCAAGAATACCAGCATGTGTCTTCAATGGAGGTACAGTATGTCACGCCTCCTTTTAATCTGTTGATATGTCTTCTCTTTATTAGTTTGATGTATTATTATACTCCTCCATTTTAATATTCTTAGGTTTTGATGTGTCCGTTAATCTGTTTGATAAACTGAAGGAGTCTCTATCCCCAATAACTTCTATCATTGTCAACGTACAAGTTTATTCAAGTAGGGACTGTGGATAAGAGAAGGAGACGTATTCATTAATTGACATTATGATACACTGTAAAGTGACTAGTTATTCTTTTACTGTTAAAGGTATGAAGGCATTAATGAAAGATATATTTCAGCAGCTA